GGGGAGGAGCTGGGGGGAGGAGCTGGGGGGGGAGGAGCGGGGGGAGGAGCTGGGGGGGGGAGAGCTGGGGGGAGGAGCTGGGGGGGGGAGGAGCTGGGGGAGGAGCTGGGGGGGGGAGGAGCTGGGGGGGAGGAGCTGGGGGGGGAGGAGCTGGGGGGGGAGGAGCTGGGGGGGGAGGAGCTCGGGGGGGAGGAGCTGGGGGGGGGAGCGGGGGGAGGAGCTGGGGGGGAGGAGCTGGGGGGGAGGAGCTGGGGGGGGAGGAGCTGGGGGGGGGAGGAGCTGGGGGGGGGGAGGAGCTGGGGGGGAGGAGCTGGGGGGGGGAGGAGCTGGGGGGGGAGGAGCTGGGGGGGAGGAGCTGGGGGGGGAGGAGCTGGGGGGGAGGAGCTGGGGGGGGAGGAGCTGGGGGGGGGGAGGAGCTGGGGGGGAGGAGCTGGGGGGGGGAGGAGCTGGGGGGAGGAGCTGGGGGGGGGAAGGAGCTGGGGGGAGGAGCTGGGGGGGGGAGGAGCTGGGGGGGAGGAGCTGGGGGGAGGAGCTGGGGGGGAGGAGCTGGGGGGGGAGGAGCTGGGGGGGAGGAGCTGGGGGGGGAGGAGCTGGGGGGGGAGGAGCTGGGGGGGGAGGCTGGGGGGGGAGGAGCTGGGGGGGGAGGAGCTGGGGGGGAGGAGCTGGGGGGGAGGAGCTGGGGGGGAGGAGCTGGGGGGGAGGAGCTGGGGGGGAGGAGCTGGGGGGGGGAGGAGCTGGGGGGGGAGGAGCTGGGGGGGGGAGGAGCTGGGGGGGGAGGAGCTGGGGGGAGGAGCTGGGGGGGAGGAGCTGGGGGGGGGAGGAGCTGGGGGGGAGGAGCTGGGGGGAGGAGCTGGGGGGGAGGAGCTGGGGGGGGGAGGGCGGCGGCACGAGTTGGTCTCACATCCTGTGCGGCCGGTGACCGTGACGAGGAGAAGCTGAGCCGCCGATGGGGGGGCGCGGCAGTCGGGGAGAGGAGGCGGGGGATAGGCTCCGCGCCCTGGGCCCGGGGCCCGGGGGGGAGCTCAGGCTGGAGAGAGCCGCCCGCCGGCAGCTTCAGGGGGACGAGACCCCGCGCTTCATGTACGTCCTGACCGCCTTCTCGGCCCTCGGCGGCTTCTTGTTCGGCTATGACACGGGGGTGGTGTCCGGGGCGCTGCTCGTCCTCAAGAAGGAGCTGAGGCTGAGCGCCCTGTGGCAGGAGCTGCTGGTGTCCGGGGCGGTGGGCGCTGCCGCTGTCGCCGCTCTCGCCGGCGGCGTCTTCAACAGCCTGTGGGGCCGCCGAGCCTGTGTCCTGGCGGCCAGCGCGCTCTTCACGGCCGGAGCCGCGGTGCTCGGCTTCGCGCCCGACACAGCCACTCTGCTCACCGGGAGAGTGGTGGTGGGACTCGGCATCGGTGAGTGACAGAGAGGGGGGGAGTGGGAGAGAGGGGGAGAGGGGGTGAGAGAGAGGGGGAGTGTGAGAGGGAGAGGGGGAGTGTGAGAGGGAGAGGGGGAGTGTGAGGGAGAGGAGGGAGTGAGAGGGAGAGGGGGAGAGGGAGAGGGGGAGTGTGAGAGGGAGAGGGGGGAGTGTGAGAGGGAGAGGGGAGTGTGAGGGAGAGGCGGGAGTGAGAGGGAGAGGGGGGAGAGGAGAGGGGGAGTGTGAGAGGGAGAGGCGAGAGGGAGAGGGGGGAGTGTGAGGGAGAGGGGATAAGGTGAGTGTATTTTGGGGGGTGTTGTGCCGGTGTCTGACAGATGGGGAAGCCATCACCATGTTTAAGAGTATCCAACCGGAGCTGAGATTTCCATCCCATCCCACCTTCCACATGGAAATCCCACAGAGCAATTGTTGGAGGGAGTGGGAAGCGCCCGCCCGCCCGGTCAGTCCCGCCGGGTCAGTCCCGCCTGTTTCTGACCCGCCCGGTCAGTCCCGCCGGGTCAGTCCCGCCTGTTTCTGACCCGCCCGGTCAGTCCCGCCGGGTCAGTCCCGCCTGTTTCTGACCCGCCCGGTCAGTCCCGCCGGGTCAGTCCCGCCTGTTTCTGACCCGCCCGGTCAGTCCCGCCGGGTCAGTCCCGCCTGTTTCTGACCCGCCCGGTCAGTCCCGCCGGGTCAGTCCCGCCTGTTTCTGACCCGCCCGGTCAGTCCCGCCGGGTCAGTCCCGCCTGTTTCTGAGACTGTTTGAATCAGGTCAGTGAGAAGTTGACACCTCCAAACCTTCAGTTGCGGCAGCAGCGGCTCATGTGTTTGTATCAGTGTTTGTATAAGTGATTTATGCAAACACAGGAGCCGCAGCAGCAGACGGGTCTTGTTTCTGTCCAGTTTAAAAACTTTTCCTGTTTTACATCTGCCAAGATATTACATCACCAATTCATATTGTCCTTTTGTTTTAATAAAAGTGTGATGTCATCTGCAGAAAAAACCTATTACTACCACTCCCTCACTGACACTCCTCTCTGCTTTCCCATCTGCTCCCTCTCTATCTCTCTCTTTCTCTCACAAAACACTCCCTCCCTCTCAGTCACTCACCGGTGCTGAATTCCACCACCACTCTCCTGGCAGATAGTTGCTTGTCATAATAATGAAAATAATACTTGTGTGGCATTGCTTCATATTATGCCAAAATATCTCAAATCACTTCAAACAATTAAATATTTTGAGATTTAATGATCTGTTGATTTGGATTCCAGCAATGTTCCACAAGCTCAATGAGATCAAAACGGGTGGGTGGGATTGAAATAGGGAGTTCCAGAGATTAAGGGTACAGTGACTGAAGGCTTGACTACTGATGGTGGTGCAGTGGGATTGGGAGATACGCAATACGCCTGCATCTGCTGAGTGAAGAGGGCTGCAGCAGTGTGGGGTACCAGCAGTTCTGATTGGAGTATAAAGTGTGAAATTCCTAGTCAAAACCTGTGAAGCTCTTTTAGACACTCTCCCGACATGAAAATCCAAATCCAAATTGTTCTGTCTTGAAAAGGATCAATTTCAAGACCCTCAACATCACCTACAAATTTGTTCATGCCCTGGTATTTCCTTGAGTACAAGGGTTATTATTTTGGAGTCCTGTATATTGTGAAGTCCTGTAGCTTAGTGGTTAGAGTACTTGCCTCGCAAGTGAGGACCTGAGTTCAATTCTTGGTCAGGGCAAAATGTTGGGCAAGTTTCCTTACTCCACACACCTTTGTTTACCTCACAGTCAGTTCGTCGATTGGTGGATCACTTTTCCTGGGGTAATAATCCCTTCAAAACAAAAATAAATTGAAAGAAAATAATAATTTGGTCACTCAATCCATGATTGTTTGTGGGACACTGCTGTGCGCAATCGGCTGCCTGTTTCATCCACAAAATAAGGCGCTATATCAAGGATTATTATTTTTATTATTACTATTTGCCCCAGGACCTAAGATTCTCTGCTGTTAGCCAACTAATTCTTTTTAATGCCAGGTTCAAATCCCCACTGTGACAAGCTCCTGATCTGAAGTATGTAGAGCATGATGATCATGAGGTGAAGCTATGGTATCTCCCTGCTGGTTAATGGAACAGGAGAGAAATATAATATGAATGTCTTGTGTTTGGGTAATACCTTGAGTATAAGTGGTATTACCATTATAAGTAATAGCTAGTCATTCGTGCAAGTCCAAAGCAAATCTAGGAGTCTTGGTGGGTTGATTAAATACAGGAATAGCGTAATCAATTGTGAAAATATGAAGCATTTCTGATCAGAAAGGCACCATACAAATGTAATTCGTGGTTGTTGTTAGCATTTGGGAATTGGATGGTCACTGATTTGAGAGCTGGGTGAATACAGTTATTCTGACGAGTAGTGGTGAAAAGTATACAATTTTTGTGGTCATTTGGCACCATGTGTAGAATAGGAATTTCTTCTAAACTCACATAAGGCTACAAAAACAAATCTGTTTGCCATCTCCCTTACTTTTCTCTTTTTTTTACCATTTCAGACCTTTGCGGTCTAAGAAACCATTTTTAGAACCATATGTAGGGGCAGTGCATTTACTGAGTTCTAACTGAACCAAGCAGACTGAGAACAAAGCTTGAGCAGAATCTGAAGGTTAAATACTTGTCCAATCTTTAACTGGTTGCCAAATGTTTTCTTTACATCAACTAATGGACTGTTTTACAGGAAGATAAGCTGGACAACAATTAACATGTGTTTAAAATGTACATACAAACTTTTTTCCATTATCTGAACTATTCTATCCTTTTAATTGGACTTCACCATGATATAAATTAGTGCTAATGATAACTGTACTTTTGAGTAATTTGCCAAATGCTCAGATCTGCTGTTCTTTAATTACAGAGCAGATGGATAAATGATAGTTGGCTTACTCCCACTTTAATTACTCCTTCAAATAATAATAACAATGCTTAGATATATTTAGAATTGCTTGAAATATTAGCTGATATAGGAAAAGGTGCAGACCTAAATCACCATTCCTATATGACTGCTTGGAGGGGTGGGTGTGTTGCATTGTTGAGATGGGGCATAAATATTGTAAACCCATTTAATTTAATGCTCACTTTTTTTTGCAAAATAGGTCTAATTTTTGCTTTATGGTCCTAAAATGTTGCACAATTCTTGTCTATTTTAATTATATCAAAGATAAATAATACAATATAATAACGATGCTGGCATTTCAGGTCCTACCTCCCAAAATGCCAGCAGTACATCTGCACAAACGGCTTCTCCTCCCGCTCTCACCCGGTTACCTGTGGGGTACCCCAAGGATCCATCCTTGGCGCGCCTCCTCTTTCTGATCTATGTGCTCCCTCTTGGGGATGTCATCCGCAGACATGGGGTACACTTCTACATGTATACAGATGACACCCAACTCTATGTGTCTTACCTCACTTTGTGACCCCCAGTCCCCTGATGTTTTGGCAGCCTGCCTGTCAGACCTCAGGAGCTGGATGAGCGCAAATTTCCTTCAGCTAAACATTGACAAGACGGAAGCCATACTCTTTGGCTCTCGTCAGCATCTAAAATCACATGGTTCTCACTTCTTCCACCTACACGACCACCCCCTAAAACTCTCCAAACCTGTACGCAACCTAGGCATCAGGTTTGACCTCCAATTATCCTTCCTCCCACACATCCGGTCCCTCACCAGCACCACTTTCTTCCACCTCCGACGCATCACCCGTCTCCGCCAATACCTCACTCCAAAGGCCGCTGAAACGCTGGTTCATGCCTTCGTCACCTCTCAGTTGGACTATTCAAATACCCTCCTCGCCGGCCTCCCCTTCACTATCATCCATAAAATCCAGGTCATATAAAACTCTGCCGCCCGCATTCTCACTCGCACCAAACTCTGCTCCCCGATTACCCCAGTCCTTGCCAGACTGCACTGGCTGCCTGTCCCAGAGAGGGTCGACTTCAAGATCCTCACTCTTGTCTTCAAACCCCTCCACTTCTCTGCACCCTCCTACCTCTCTGACCTCTCTCCTCAAAACAGTGCCCGTCGCCTCCTCCTTGTCCCCCGAGTCCTCCGCTCCACCGTCGGCGGCCGTTACTGTAAAGCGCTCTGAGACGCCATCCCATTTAATTTAGCACCAAAACATTGAGCATGATAGCTAATTTAAATGGGCCTTGAAGAATGCCATTTATACAATATTGTCAACTTTTGCTTGATAAACTTGGGAGGTGGGGGATGGTGTGAAGATACCCTTTATAATGGGAATATTGTGGGTTCTCTGCTGCTGGGACTGGGAGGAGAATATGCAGAATACAACAGAATTGTGTCCATCTGGTTCAGTTGTTATCACTCTCGCCTCTGAATCAGAAGGTTGTGGGTTCAAGCCCCACTTCAGGACATAAACTCACAAAGTCTAAGATGACATTCTATTGAGGGTCTGGTAGGGTGTTACATTGTCGGAAGTGCCATCCTTAGGATCAGATGTTAAACCGAGGTCCCATCTGCCTGTTCAGGGGGACGTTAAAGATCCCATGGCACTTTTCAGAAAGAGAATCAAGTTGTGGAGTCCTGTAGCTCAGTGGTTAGAGCACTCGCTTTGCAAGCGAGAGACCTGAGTTCAGTTCCCAGCAGGGCAAAACCTTGGGCAAGTTTCCTTACTCCACACAGAGCCTAATAATAATCCCTCCAAAACCAAAAACAATAATAAATTGGTCATTTTCAATCTACGACTGTCTGTGGGACATTGCTGTGCGCAATTGGCTGCCGCGTTCACCCACACATATACAGTGTATTCTGTGAAGCGCTTTGGGACGTCCTCCCGACGTGAAAAGCGCTATATCAAATGCAAGGATTATTATTATTATTCTTCCGTGTCCTGGCCAATAACCCCACCAAAATAAATTTGGTCTCTTACTTCCATTGCTGCTTGAGGAACATTGCTGTGCACAAATGGGCTGCCATATTCGCCTAAACAGCCACTCAA